CACAGAGATGGAGATCCAGGTGGGTGGAAGCCTCCATCCACAGGCAGGCAACACAGGGATTTCTTTCTGTTGTTTGGCCCTCAGTGGACTAGACGAGGCCCATCCACACTGAAGAGCGAGCGACTTTCTTGAGCCCACAAATCCCAGTGCTCACCCCACTGGGAATGCTTCCTGCCTGACCACAGATCTGGGGGCCTGACTCAGGCAAGTTGGCACGAACACTTGGCAGTCACTGCCCTCACAGTGGTGTCTGTCTCCCCTCCACAGAGCCTGCTCCTTCCCCTCCTGTCTCCTTCTCCTTTCCTCAAGGATACCTGTAACTGCATGCAGGGCCCCATAGAAAATTTAGCACTACCCTCTCATCTCCAGATACTTTATGTAAAAACTATTCCTACAAGGCCACAGTCGACATTCGAGGTTCCTGGGATGACAACCAGGTATCTTTGGGTCATTACTTGGTCTACACAAGGGACAAAAGTCACCCCACACAGCCATTAGGCTGAGTGTCTGGAGTGGGGCCTGCACTGAGATTGTGCCCCTCCCTCTCCAGGAGGACCAAAGAAGATGGATGAATTATCTTGTCTCCTCCACGAACACACCCAGGGCTCTCGTTCAGAGGGCAGCAAGGCCAAGTTTGCTGCTCATGTTATGCTCAAGGCTGCTGCTTCCTGCACACAGAGACGCCTCTGACCTGGCTAGAGGCATGCATCAGCAAGACACTGGGGGGACCAGGGAGATGGCTCAGTGGAATAAGCGCTTCCCTGGCAAGCGCAAGGGCTTGAGTTCGATCCCCCATTCCACCAAAAAAAACCCCCAAAAAACAGCTTTTACACAGCAGGCAACAGTCAGCAACCAGGGGATAGATACTGTGTGTGTGTGTGTGTGTGTGTGTGTGTGTGTGTGTGTGTGTGACACTTGCTCCTCTGAGGTCTTGTGTGTGACACTTGCTCCTCTGCTGAGGCCCTTGTGTGTGACACTTGCTCCTCTGCTGAGGCCCTAGCCCCTGTGTGAGAGGCACCACAGAGAACTCTCTGTTGCCAGGTGATGTGGATAGGGACACACAGGCTGGCACAGGCTGCCGCAGGGCTCCGGGAAGCTGTCACCACGAAACCATGCAGCACACATGTGGGTGAGAATGTGCCAGGCACGTCCCGCAAGCTGCTCAATGAAAGGCTGGTCTCACCAAGCCCACTCGTGTGCACGACTGCACGGCCATATGTCTGCTCTGCAAAGAAAAGCAGGCCTCTGTGTGGTATTGATAGCGTGGGCAGATGTGGTGGTACCTGGGGGTCCCTTTCCAGGGCTCTGGCTGGGTGCCCTACGGCTGTGCAGGCAGCAGCCTCCCTCTGCATCAGGCTGCCAAGCAAGGGCACATAGGGCGGGGGGTAGGAGTGGCTTCTAGGGCAGCCCTTCTGGAATGGGACATGGCGTGGGGTCAGGGAGACCAGGACACACAGGCCGGCTGCTAATCTATGTGCTCAGGATACATGTGGAATACCAAACTCATTGCTTCTTTACCACAGAAAGGAGACTGAGGCCTGGAGAACACAGGACTGGGGTGGGCTTGGCAGGGCAGGGCAGGGCAGGCCTGAAGGAGAAAGGCCCAGAAGCTCTGCAGAAATATGTGACAGGAACCCTCTCTGCTGCCACCTCTGAGGGCCCTCCACAGCCAGCCTAGATTGGAGGGAGCTAGAACCCGAGCACCCTGCTATGCCCCTGACCAGTGCACACAACACACCCAGGAGTAGGCCCTGGGGCGACCTGGATGTCCCTAGAAGCCCCATCCCAAGAGTAAATGCAAGCAGGTGAAGCTCACTGTAGTAATCATTTTTTTGTGGCCAGTGTACAGGCACACCATGAGCCTCCAACACCAGCCAACATACAGGTCCTGGGGGAAGCACTGTGCCTTCCGGGTGCTGACTCTTCCAAGTGGCTGGAGATCTGACACTCAAATCTCATCCCAGCTCTGAGCCTACGCTCTTAGGGCCTGCGCCAGGCATGGTGTCTGGCTGCAGGATGGGGCAGAAAAGCAGGCCAGCCCACACTCAGCTGCTGAAGTGAGGAGCCAGCATGGTGCTTCTGGTCACTATTAATGGGCCCTATGCTTGCAGTCACGGCACAGCACTGGCTCAGGGCTGGCCCCATGCTCAGGAGGATGGATGGTGCTTATTCTGTCACATTAGGGCCACTGGACATCCCAAGGTTGTGCACACGCTTCTTCCAGAAATACCTGCTGGCCTTGTCTGTGTTGTATGCATTAACACGACGCGTGTGGCTGACAACACACAGACCAACATTAAGGACCGAGTCACTTAGGTGTGTTAACCCTGGAGCTTTCAGGTCAGCATGCACAGGATCCTGTGTGCCCATGGGGGAGGGTCTGCCCAGATGACAGCCCCAGAGGGCTTAACGGGTGGACCAGACAGGACCAGAGAGTCCCCCCGGGCCTACCGAATCATGCAGGAGTAGCCACCTCCTGCTTCAATGTCATTTAATTGAATGTACAACCATCCTATTCTCAGCTCTGTTGAGTATTTCAGACACTTGCTAAAAACACACAAGACCTCCTCTGAGCTGTAGGCTAGCAGAGCAGCTCGCATGGAGGACTATGGGATTGGCAGAAAGTAGATGGCTGGAGAAAAGGAAAGAAAACCTAAGTCCAGGAGCACTACCATGACAGCGAAGCCCCAAGTACTATGTCCTCTGCATTCAGCATCTTCTCGTGACCACGCTCATGTTGGAGAGTTGGAACCTAAGAAAAGAAACCTCAGGCAGGCCACAGCCTCGTAACCTATCATTCTTGCTTCCCTGGACAGATGTCCCAGTGACACGTGTCCTCTACCTGGGGCCTCTCACATCTTGGCAGCCCGTGCTGGCTGTGACTCTGAGCTCTGCCCAGCAGCCTGCCTCAGCACCCCAACCCCTCCTGGTAGCTGGGCCTCCCAGCACCACTGGCCCTGCCCTCACATGAGAGACCCTGAGGATACACAGCTCCCTGCAGAGGCCACCCCTCCATTCTTGGCTGAATTTCCAGGATGGCATCATAGACCAGGCCCATGGGGGCAACAAGCAGAACAATGACCGCCTTGTTCCCACTTTGAAGTTCCACCCAACAGCGAACTGTATGGACCACTTCACACGAGCCAAGGTCCCTGAAAAAGTTATTTTTTCTTCTACTTCAACATAAGCTGCAGAAAACATATATATATATGTTTTAGCTCCAAGTATCTCCATCTTATTTTTATTTTATTTTGAAGAGTAACACAGAAGCAAAAACAAATAGAAAAGAAGACATAAACAAGGTAACATACAACAATGCATGTTACAGATTTTCAAAACAGGAATAGCTTATTAACAATGGCTGTTATCTATTTTCATCATCAAATCTGTTGCTCAGATTAGCATATACAGTTATGCAAGATTGGGGAAATAATTGAATACTGGGCTTGCTTTCAAAAAATCTTAGGGTTTTTTTTCCCCCTCATCTTTTTTGTAAGTATCTCAATCTCAGACGGTTTTTATCTGCAGGTGACAGTGTGCCCAGGGCCCAGCAGAGGTGCTAAACAGTGGTGCACTGTGCTTTTCCCTATAATTTACTAGTTCAGCACAGTAAGACATTAACAAGAGAATACAATAGAGCAACTGGAACAATACACTTTGGTAAGCTATGTGAGCATAGTTGGACTCTCTATCTCTCCCCTCCCTTTCTCTCTCCTCTCTCCTCTGTCCTCTCCTCTCTCTCTCAAAATATCTCACTGTTCTGTCCTCAGCCTTCTAGTTGACCACATTAACTGAAACCAGGCACAGAAGGGGGACCTCTGTGTCTGGGATGTGAGAGCCAGAGCCAGAGGAGGCCTCTAAGTGCTGAGGTGGATCAAGAGACTGAGGCACTGTGGATGGGAGCTGGAGGCCTGGGGCTCCCTGCACAGTCAGTGCAGGGAGTTAAATATTCGTGGTAAACAAAAGCCACGTCTGGGACACTCTGTAATGCACACACGCCTGGTTTATGTAATAAGGTTAATGACTCCAGGCCCCTGGAGCTGGCCACCAGGACTTTTGGGGTCTGCATGGTTATACCTCCCCTCAGCTGTTTCCACCAGCAGGCCCTCTAGGAGACAGACCTATGGGACCCCAACCAAACTAGATGTAGACGACTGGCCTCCCCAGCAAGCTTCTCTCCTGCTCCGTCCAGGCAAGTGCACAAGCCAGAAACCCAAGAACCATGGGAGCCCCTGGGCCAGATAGGCTTGCTTCTGGGAGGTGCCAGAAGGTGGAGTTCAGATGCCGAACTCCAGCTTAAGTGTGACAGCCACTGAGTGACTGCAGGTGTGAGCTGAGGACTGCGGGTTCCACCCCTCTCAGGCTAGCAGCCTGCCTTGGGATAGGGATGGGTCAGCACATGCCCTTAGGGCCAGCCATCCCGCTCTGCAGAGCTGGGATCCCACACAGGTATGTGCCACAGCTGACACCTGCGAGCCAGGTGTACCGGTCACAGTAGGAAGAGGGGGTGGCAGCAGGGCTGAAGATGCCCCTACAACTGCGGGGCCCTCCCAGGACTGCTGTGTTTGGTGAGCTCTGCACACTTGTGCTGCTGAGCTCACACCACAGAGCAGTGGGGTCACCTTCCTTTGACCCCCAGGGGAGCGAAGGCAGGCCTTTTTCAAACCCATGGGGAACACCTGACAACACAGTCCCAAGGGAACATGGGGGAAGGTGTCCCCAGGCTGGTGCACTGACCCTAGCCCTTCTCGCCTTGGCTTCCAGCCAAATCAGCCTCACCCCAGCACGACCTCAAAGAGGCCCTGCCCACCCTCTCCTTGCAGTCACAGGCTCAAAGGTCTGAGCTGTGTAATGGCCTCTCCTTGGCTCCCTGGTCCCTGACAGGACCACATACAGGGCCACACAAGGTGGCTGAGAGAAGAGTGGAAGGTTGAGGACAGACCTGTGGATGAGCCCATGCTAAAGGCAGCCCTCACAGTGGGCAAAATTTCCTCACTCACCTAACAGTTAGTGCCAGCAGACATTTCAGCAAGCAGGACTCTGTTTCTTCCCTCTGTCTGATGATAACAGAGTCTGGAACAGGTAGAAAGGGGGCCTTTTAGCGGCACCAACTGCAGCCCAGAATCCCTTCCAATACATGCACACACACTGTGCTGAAAGTAGCCTTGGGCCCCGGCCCAGGCACTGAATGGGGCTCAACTGGCCAGATGGGACCAGATGAAGCACCAGAGCTGAAGGACACTGGCCACCAAGAAAGGGATCATCACCTTGTCCCTCCTCACTGTTCCCCAACACTGGCCCAGTACAGCAGAGTTTTCCAGACTGAGCTCGGGGGTGCAGAGCAAGAGCTGGGGGGATGTTGTGCTCAATAATCACGTCACAATAACAAACACTCCTGTAGCACACACATTCCAGGGCAGCCTCTTCCTTAGAGGTACATACGAAGACAGTGTGTAGGCTAGCATACAGTATTTTCAATAATTTTTCCAGTTTTAAAATGAGTTATGTACTTAAAAAACAAAGTCAGAAGCAGAAGAAACAGGATAGGGGTTAAGAGGAGAGAAAAAAAAAGGGATATCAAAATTTGTAGGCTTTTAGAAATAATCTTAAAGCAGAAGCAAGACTGTTACACGTCACAGTTAAACTCATCAACCTGATTGGCTCTGAAGACACTGGGATCAGGGAGGCCCACTTCTGCGTGTGTCTCAGGATGGCCCGGAGCCCTGCTTACAAGCCCCCATCTGGCTCCAGCCCCTCCTGCCCAGCTCTGCTCCCCACTCCCCATCCCAGCTGCCACGAACGCTGCCGCTCTGCTCCACTAAGCCCTCTGCCACACTGTTCGAGCCTTCAGGCCAGCCAACCACGGAATGAAACCTTTAAAGCCGAGCAAAAATAATCTTCTTTAAGTAGAAGTATTTTATCCCAACAATCAGAAAGCTGGCCTACGTATCATACACTAAAGAGAAACACGAAACAACAAACAGAAAACACCAAGGCTCCCTCCTCGCTTGCCAAGGCCCCTGGCTCCCAGGGCTCCCTCCTCGCTGGCCAAAGCCCCCGGCTCCCAGAGCTCCCTCCTCACTGGCCAAGGTCCCCTGCTCCCAGGGCTCTTGGACCAGAGCACAAGCTCCATTTAAAATGACAGGCCAGTGGAGGAGGGAACTGTTCTGAGTCATTTCTGATGACAGAAACACAAATGAAATCAGGATGACCCTTTTCACCAGGGGCAGGGAAGCTGAGAGGGGCCCGGGGCACCTTTAACCCCTGAAAGGAGGATTTACGGCAGTCCCTTCCCCAGCATTCAGGACGGTTCCTGTGGTCACACGCAGCTAGGGTGCAAATGGGACCTGGGAAATTCACGCACTGAATCTGGCTGCATCGTGACAGTACGAAGAGGGTGGAGACTCCATGCCCCCATTGTGCGTCGGAGTCTGGAGGGACGTATGTGGGAAGTTATTAGGGCTGGATGAGCTCATGAGGGTGCAACCTGCAGGTGGTTGTTGGTGGCTTTGCAGGAAGAGGAAGAGAGCTCGAGCTGCCAGGCCTGCTCTGTCTCACCCTTTGATGCCTGCACCACACGATGATGCAGGAAGAAGGTCCTCCCCAGGTGCCAGCGCCGCGATTACAGACACCCCTGCTCCCCAGTGCTGAGCCACGCACTGCTGCTCCGTACAAATGACCTGATCCATGGCATTCAGTTAATGCTACAGGAAACAGACTAAGATCTGGCCCTGGAGATGTGCTCAAAGGATTCTCCCTGTGTCGCTGCCAGGGAAACAGGAGCCCCAGTGACTGAGCAGAAAGTGACTACGTGGTCTGTCCGTAGGCCCAAACCCAGGCAGCTGTCACAAAGCACAAGGCCTCCTGGAGGGAAATGGAGCTGCAGAAGGCAAGGTGGGCTGTGGACAGCCGGCCACAGTGGGACTGCCACGCCATACATGTCAAGGGCAGGCAGCATGGGGAGCCACGGAGAGCAGGCTCACGCTGGAGTGGGCTGGGGCCGAGAGGCAGCGTGAGTTCTACCTCCACACACTTCTGTGCTATCCAAGTTTTCCCCTTCAGTCGGTACAGACACTATCCATGGTCCCCTGCTTAGTGGCCCTACTCTTCCTTTGGGGAACCTCAACTCCCATTCAAGGTACCACAGACAGACAGACAGACAGACAGACAGACACACACACACACACACACACACACACACACAGACCAACTCACACTGGTCGTACAGCTTCCCTTCCCTGAGTCCAATGTATGCCACACACCACACATGCATGCACACACACATTCACATGTAGACATATATACACACATACACATAGAACCCCCCACATTCATACACACGCATGCACACCCATCTAGACACACATCTATGCACATACCTCTACACAGACATGCGTCCCAAAATGTAGAGATGCCACAGTTACACACACAAACACATGCATGCATGAACACACAGGAATGCCCAGAAACACACAGACACATTCTGTGAACATTCCTTTTCTCTTTCCCAACAGCCTCCGTCTTCTTGCTCACTAACTCTTAGCCTCTGCTCAAAGACTGTCACACAAATAACCTGCAGTAGAAACCAAGGACATAAAAGAAAACCAAATTTTCTGGGCACCCCAGAAAGAGCCCTGGTCCCACAATATTGCAAGGCAGGCCCAGACACATGCATTTTTCACAGGTTCCAGGGCATGCTGCCCAGGACCATGGGCTACTCACAGTTACTGGGAGCAGCACATGGTCATGGGGACAACATGGGGACCTGGGGAGCAGAAGAGCTCACTCAGTGTGTCTATGAGTACCTCTTCCTCCTGCACGGGCCACGCCTCAAAGGTCCTGAGCTCCCAAAACATGAGAAAACAACAGCAGAAACTGAGAAAGCACCTCAGGTCCTCCGATGCCCCTGTCCAGCCTGGCACAGTCCACAGGAACAGGGACTAAGCCCCAGGCAGGAAGGCCCAGACAGGCGTGGCAGGCCTCGTCCTCCTGCTGAACAGGAGTTAAGCTAGCAGGTGAATCCTGGGGCACACCCACTGTGCACAAGGCTGTGACAACTGTGACAGTGCTGATCTTACACAAATGCTATATTCCTAAAAAACACGGCAAAAAATCCCACCAATGCCAGGTGATTCAGCAAAGATTCATGGCATCATGCACATGCCTTCAATGCCCACTCTATACTCCCAGGTGACCAGCCGCACAGCCCGTCCCCCCACCCAGCCACTACAAACCACGTAGCTAACCGAGGCTCAGTTTCTCTCCTCTCCAGGTCCCTCGGACCCAAGCCAACCACAGCCACTCCCAAGAATACACGGGTGTTGTAAACACCCACCGATTGCTTCATAGTGAGACCACACCCCACAGCTGGCTCTTCCCAGCCCAATCTACGCCTCTCTACAGAGCAAAGCCCTCTGGCCAGACCCACAGGATGGAATGCTGGTGTCTCACCATCAGTACATGGACTGCCACTTCCTCTCTTGCAATAACTCTACAAAAGTCTCTTTTCACTAACATTTTCTTTGAACAGTTTACAAACTACCCACCCTCAGATGTCTCCAAATGCACTGCACCCTTAGATGATGACACCAGGCACCCAAGTATCATCTCTGATTTCTGCTTCCCTGAAGTCCATGTTCAGGGTTATGGCTTAAGAGACAACTCAGGGATACACCCGAGAACCCACCTCACACCACTGATGGGGGCACAGCAAGAGAAAGGGGGAGGAGACACAGGAAGAAAACCACACGGCTCAGACACCCGGCACCCTATGTGCTGTGGGAAACTCAGCCCCTCAATATTTAATTCTGTGCCACGGGTGCTTCTGCATGGTAATCCCATTCAGGAGGTGGACGAGTAGAGCGGTCAGGAGGGCCAGCTCAGCAAGATACGTGGCTATGTACATGGTGGCCACACCTTGCCAAAGAAAGGAAACCTCTGTCACTTCTCTCTCCCTCCTTCTCTTTCCCTTTCCCTCTCTCTCACTCTCTCAACTCAGGGCTCCCAGGCATGCCCAGGAGTCTCCATATTAAAATTACCAACTACACAGAAAAAGAAAGGGTTCAGCTCACTGAAGTCAGAAGAATGCAGACTCGAGCACCAGGACTTTCTCCCTGCAAGATGAAAGAAGAAACCAACAAGAAGACTCGATGGGGTGGAGAAGGTACAAACCTCTCACCATCTGAGAGAAGAATTCTGTGGAACACAGTGTCGCCGGGGCATCAGGACACCTGCGAGGGTCAGCCCGAGAGCTGGGCAGGGGATCGGCCAAAGCTCACATGCTGATAACTGCAGCAGATCTGCATGGCACTGGCTCCAACAAACTGGGAAGGCAAGGGTGACCCAGCAGCCTCGATAGCAGTGGTCATGCTGGGAGTGTGCCAGAGTAAGTGCACTCTAAGTGTTCTCTACCTCGGGAAGTAACGTACAGATGGACGTAACAGTGTCCTGGATGCTGTATACCCCTGTGACCAGAGAACCGGAGTCTGGGGGCCAAAGTGTTTCTTTTTTTATGTATTTAGTACAGGGTTTACAGGGTCTCACTACACAGATAGGACTCATAGTGATTCTCCTGTTTTCAGCATCCCAGATGCTGGGATGACAGGCATGCACTACCACACCCAGTCTCAATCTCCTTCTAAGCACGCCCCCAGGGTGGGGCCGGCATGGCACGCTGGGGATTGAACCCCAGTCCCTGCATCTGTCGAAGCAGATGTTTTAATCTGCTGAGCTATCTGGCCAGCCCTCCAAAGTGTTTCTTCATTATCAAAAGAATTAATGGACAGGATCCAGAAAGCTAGGGTGAGTCTTAGCAGTCCTGCTCCAGCAGCTTTCTAAAATCATTAGGTTGGGGGGCCGGGGAGATGGCTCAGTGGAATAAGCGCTTCCCTGGCAAGCGCAAGGGCCTGAGTTCAATCCCTGGTTCCGCAAAAAAAAAAAAATAATAATAATAATAAAATAAAAAAATAAAAGAAAATCATTAGGTTATGAAGGAAAAATTCTAAAACTCTGCCAATTCCCAAATTGCAGAACATGGTTCTAGAAGCCCCTTCCTTACTCAGGACCAACAGTCTGCACAACCAAAACGAAATGCCTGGGAATCGCTCAGCATCCCTATGCTGCCAATCCCTGAAACTTAATTACTCAGTATAGATATGGGGCACCTGTCTAACTTCAGCTCAAAAAGTAGACATGGGGCTACTCTGACTCGGCTACTGAGATCACACTGTCATGTCACCTTGTGACACGGCGACCACCGCTGCTCTCCGTGCAGCTCACAGGACAGCTGTCACACGAGCAAACTCCTCACCCTATGGGACCTGGTCCTTCTCTGCATCTCTGCTTCTGCTCATGGGCTCTTCACAGCCACGCACCCCTTGAAAACTCGGCACAGCCCCGTGTGCACACTCACTAACCCCACACGGTGACCCACCTGGCCCCGAGGAGGCCCAGCTGGGAAGAGGACTCTTGTTCGCAGCATCACTAAGGGCCCCCACTTTAGCAAGACTACAGACAAGACTGGGGAGATCCACCCCTGTGATGTCCTGACCCCAAGCCGCAGTCTCACTATGTAACAGCCCTGTAAGCTGAGGGCAGCTCAGGTGGGGATGGCTGCCTGGGTTTGCCAAGTGTTGGGTTTGAGTCCCAGTACTGCAAACAATAAAGAACCCTTAATAGATGAGTGTGGTGGTGCCTTCCCGGAATCCAACACTCTGGGAGGCTGAGGCAAGAGGACTCAAGTTCTAGCCCAGATGGAGCAATTTGCCAACTGAGACCCTGTCTCAAAATAAAAACAAAAAAGGGCTGGATGTAGCTCAGTGCTAAGGCTGTAGGTTCAAGCCTCAGTATTATGGCAACAGAGAGACAGAGGTAGAGACAGAGACAATGGTGGGAAGAGAGGGAAAATAAAAAGAGAAAGGGTAAAGGAAAACAAAAAAAAAAGAGAAAAAGCCAGCTTGCCCACCTACCCTTCGGCTGTCTTGTCCCAGTGAGAGGACACGAGGTGGCACCTGAGGTCCCTGGGTCCCACGCCCTCCTCCAGAGAGTGCCTGTCAGCTCAGTCAAGGGTGAGAGCTATTAAAGGCCACCTGCTGACAAGGCCATTTAACTCACTACTCATGAGACCTAGTGAGATGCTGCCACCTTCAAAGAAGTCAGGAAATCAGAAATGCTGAGTGAGTGTGGGTGAGGGGCCTGAGGCACAGGGGCAAGTGAGCGCTGGTAGGCAGGGATCTCCTGCTGAGGAGGAGCTGCCTCAGAGCCAGGCAGAGGCGGTGACACACCACCATGGAAGTGTTAAATGCCACTGTGCTGTTCGCCTTAACAAGGTTAAACGCGTGTGCCTCTGGACGTTTTCTGTTGCTATGACTGAACACCTGAGACTGTGGGGGTTATAAAGAAGTTTATTAGCTCTTGGTTGTTAGACACTGGGACTCCAGGAGCACAAGGATGGCCACAACACAGCAAGGGCCCCACACAACAAAGCAGCAAGCATCTTAGCCTGGATCTCTCTGCCTGTTCTTGCAGTCACCAATCCCATTGTGGGGGCCTCACCCTCCCATCCTCATCAGACCCTCGTCACTCCTCAAAGCCCTCTCTAAGTCCATCAGTACATGATCTGAGGATTCAGTTTCCAATACAGAAACTTTTGGAGATCAAACAAAGCAGAGCATTATGTGTGTAACTTCCCCCAAAGAAGAACACTGAGGTAAATTTCCAATGGCACAAAACCGGCTGTCCCCATGGGGAGCATCAGTCGCCTCTCTGCTGGACAGGTGCCATCTGCATACACATGCACAAGAACTGTCAGCACTGCCGGCACATGTGTACAGTGTAGAGGGCTGCAGACAGAGCGGCCCCTCTGTCCCAGTGCTTTACTCAAAGCTGCTTACTCCATGGCAGAAAGCGAAGTGGCCATGAAACCCTGAAATTCAGGAGGACTGCGCGATGGCTGGGAATGAGGACATGGGTGGAGTAGGCGCTGGGAGCAGCTCTGCTGTTCTGGGGGTAGTCACGGAAGGGGAGGGTACAAGACAGCCAGGAGTGGGGAACTGGCTATCAGAGAGAGGGAGAAACTGAGGCCTGCAAGCACCGCAGCACAGTGAGGGCCCCTTGTGGTTATGGGGCGTGGGGCTTCCCAGGCCCAGTGCCAAAGCCACCACAGGGGTGTCCAAGACACCTGAAAGGAATGGGGAGTCTCCAAGTCTCCTGACTCAAAACACTAGATGGATCACTTGGATGTGGGTTCATTTTCAGAAATGCCACGTCTTCCTACCACACTTCTTCCCAGGGCTCTAAGAATTCCTCAGAGAACCCGTAACATACAAGAGCGCTACCCTGGGGCCTCCCCTTCTCTGAGTGCCGGTGTTTGCCCCCAGCATCACACCCACAATCCCTTCTCCACATGCATGTGCTCAGACATGCCAACACTTACGGATGACGTGAGCACACATGCAGCTGCCCTACAGGGCACACACACAACTCAGAGGCCTCTGCAGGCAACCACCACCAGCAGGGTGCTCAACTGCCTCAAAGCCGAGCTGACAGTGCTTTTCCACTACAACTGGTGCACACCATGCAACATGCATGTGGGGACATAATCTGCAGCTTGGCTCAGAGCAGCTCTGTCTGTCCTCGTGGGTCACAAGGGCACAGGCACTCATCGCTGGACTCAGAGCCACACTACATGTGTATTCCACGTTAGTTCCCAGAACTTTCTTCGAAGATGGTGCTCCAGCTGCGTGGCACCCTCATTACTGTGTAACCACTCCAGGAGCTACATTCCCCAGGGCTTACTCTTTCACAAACAATCAGAGCAGAAACTGAAATGTCACTAACCTCCTGG